ACATTTGGATACTGACGCGAGAGCATCTGTAAAATGACAAACTAACAACCCTCACATTCACCCTCTCCCGTCCATCAACCAGAGGAAAAGAATTCACAGTAAAGGATATTTTGATCACAGATTGAGCAGTGCTCAGAATCCATCAGGTACTGAAACTTGCTGGCACGACGTAGGACGTCCTTCGCCATGGTATACGTTGGGCCTTCGCCACTCATTTCTGTTAAACAAAAAACAGGAAATAAATGTCACTACATAAATTTGTTTCGTCCTCCCTGTCAACTGACCCTACCCTGAACAAGGTAAATCCAATCACACATTTATTACGCCCTCTTAACAACTTAAACAATGGTACCCACCCACATTCACTTTCTGCAACCAAGACAGCAACAAAGATAAGCTCTGTTGATCTTCGCTTGTCAGACAGTCTTGTCTCATCAGTTCCGAAGCTCTAACACACGCGTGGCGGTTCAGAATAAGCTGCTCCGCTCTCTTCAACTCCTCCTTCTGCCACAACATTACGCCATGCAGGAAACAAATAAACAGAGATTAGCCTGTATCATACAGGGGTAGGGTATTTTAAACACCTGCAATATAGGTCTGTCGGCCAATCCGTAAATCCAGTATTTAACAGTTTACTAGTATGCTACTGCAATGTGCAGCCAACCAGATTTTGCAAAAGATGTGATTTGAACTACAAACCCTCAAATACAAGACAGGACATAAAGCTAAGCTAACCCACATTTCGAAACATGAAAGGAAGTGGTCATGACCCATTTAAATTCGACATCCCAGCATCTGCATGCATTAACTAACCAAAATAAACACAGCAACCCTGTAAGAACAGTTGATGTATGGGTTAAGACTTGAACCCAGAACATCTTCAATACAAAATAAGAGTGCTAACCACTTCACTCACCAGAGCCATGTGCCTCTCTGGGTTTTCCTCCACATCTCCCTGCACCACGGAGAACCTGTAGAGCCAGAACTGCATCTTCAGTTGGTACGTGCTCAGATCATCCAGACGGTCACTCAGTTTCCTGAACGGAGGCCCCTGTAATCTACCCACAATCCCAGCTCAGCTTCTTTTCACAGCTACG